CAGCTAAATTTTTGACATCCTTTTGATGAAATAAGTGAATTTTATTTTTTTCGCCTAGGCCATGTATTTTAAATTTGGTTATGCAAAATTATTATTGACACATTTAATTGCTTATGCAACTTTGCAAAGAATAGTGAACTGTTATCATTAGTGTAGATAAATTAATTCAAATCATGAAGGTTATTTCCATGATTAAAAGTATTAGCCAATTGACTTGAAAGCAGAGGAAAAATTCTCATTAAAATTAATGCATTATTCACTACGATGTAAATACCCTAATGAAAAGTTTGAGCAAATAAAGGCTTGAATAGTGCTAGCCTGTGAACAATAGTTAGCCCATGTATTCTTAGAAGAAGATGAAATGTCTCAATCAATTGAATGAAATTGTATTCATAATTGAAGAATCCATCAATAATGGGGAGAATTTAATTTATAAATGAAAATATTAGAATGATTGTCGATAGAATAATTCATAGAAGATAAATTATTTTCCTGTCTTCTTAAAAGATAAATTATTAGAATAACTGTTATCATCACTAGCCTTTCATTGACAGGAAAATAAAGCGCCAACCAAATGGAGACTTATTGGTTCTTCGAAATTACATAAGGTCTAATTTGATGAAGACATCATATGACATGTGAATTCAGTTTTATTTTGCTTTTAATTCCTTTAAATTTAGGCATACAATGTGATTTGGGAATCAAATCAATAGGCTGATTAGAAAAAAAAAAAAAATGAGAAGATCATCCATGATTGTGATTTGGGTATTTGATTGTGAATAAATGAAAGGGATGTTGGACATTGATATTTTGATGATGTGATTCATTGAAGAAAATTTCAATGGTGTTTATTTCTTGATTGCGCTGTCAAGAGAAGATCAAGTGAGCATATTCCATTGGTGAAGAAAAAATGGAAATTAGAAGTTTAATAATGAAGATTGGGAGGTAGAAAATCTAGACCATTAATTGAAAATCAAAGGGACAATAAGAACGATTTTATGGACTAGTCCAAGGAGCCTAATCTATTCGATCAATCCTAGATGGGAAGAAATTTGAATGGTTTGGGATATGGATTAATTTGAATATGTTCCAAATAAAAATATTACCTGCTTTTCGTAGCATGTGAGGAAACCGCTTGCCGGTTGTTCTGAGGATAGTGTTTTTATTTTTATATTTTGTTTTGTTTGTTCGACTTTCGATTGTTTTGATGTTTTATTTGGATGTCGGTTTTCTAGATTGAATCGAGTTTGTTCTAGTTGCCCTAGTGTTCTCCTCTATTGGCTCTTTCTTTCTAGTTTGCCTGCATCAAAAGTGCTCGAACAAAGGCTACTTTTTCAAAAATCTACCTAGCTAGTGTTCAAAGATTAATAAACCAACTAAATCAATAGCTCAAGAAGAATGATACTAGAGGAGTGGAACTTGCGTAGAGAAGAAGAGATTAGAAGCAAAGATGAAATAGTGAGGAGAAAAGATAATTGGAACAAGCTCTCAAGCTTTTCCAAGAAAGGAGAAGAAACCCTCAGGTTTTTAGAGATTTTTTTTAAGATAATCAACGACCTCCTCATGTCAAAAACATCTCTAATTTATAAGATAGAAGGGGGCAGCCAAACAATCATTTCACCACCATCTAAACCAATAAAAAAAGACCAGAAATAATCCCATAACAGCACCCGAAAAGATAGCACAGAGAACCGGGTAAAAGCAGCCACGGGAAAGGAGCAGGCTCCCAGGGAATCGGGACAGAGCAGGGGGAGCGGAATAGCCTACGGGAAGGAGCAGGAATCAGCCACAGGAAATAGCACCAGGGAGAAACCGAGGGGACTCAAAGAAGGGGAAAAGGCAAGGTTCCAACTCAACTTAATGAGCTTTCAAGTGCAATTAATCCTCTAAATAATGAGCTAAAACATCAGTTCAAGCATTAAGGAGCTAGAGCCCAGTAGCTCCCAAAATTTTAGCTCAAACCCAAAGCAGCCAAGGCCTAACCCGAGAGGGAACAAGCAGCCCAAAGCCAAAAAAACCCAAGAAGCTAGCACACCCAAGGTTTGCCATGCCCAAGCACTACCTACTCATGATCATTGGATGTTCTCCATCATTGGATAGCATAAAAAATCATAAAAAACAACTATAATATTCAAATTACAATAAAACGAAAATAAACTAAAATATGCATGCATCAACTTTGGTGTGTTGTCAAGTCATTTTGATGGGTTATTGAGGGCTGTATATGATATACTGAACATTTTGTTAAAAGAACTTGAGTTGTTGAAATAATTATCTTGCAGTATTTGGAAGAGGGTTATCAGTGTAAATTGCCAAAGTTGTCCTATTCTTAATCAAGAGGATTAGACATAGAGGGCTAGAATTGAGTTGTGTATTAGATGCTGAATAACTTTTATTTGAAGAAGAATCTTCAGATACTTCCAATTTCCTACTTGCAAATTGTCCCTAGAAAACAATTCTTTTGTTGTAGCGATAGAAAGTGGGATAAATAGGAATAATCAGAGATTTACACCATTGTTTTAGATTGTAGCTCTTGAATTAGCCTCCCAAATATATTGTATATGAGCTGACCTCAGCCCAAGGAATGGATTATTATTTCATCGCCTGGTGATGAGCGAGGTTGCTAGAAATTTAATTTTACTAGTTTTCCTGTATTTTGGAGAGAGAACTTGAGCAACTTCACTAGTCCTTCGTGGCCACATTTAGGTAAAGGATACCTAATTCATTAAATTGTAATAGTTCTCATGTATTTTGAGTTGCATTGTATTAGTTACAAGTTTTTTTTTTAATATCTTGAATGTTGCATTAGTCGTGCTAGTATTTTTGTGACACTTAGAATGTTATTTTGACATTTTTTATATCTATACTTGCTAAACCCTCTTATTACATGGATGTGATGGATCTGTGTATGCAAGTGCCTAGCAGAGATCGCTTGGGAAGGCAACAACCTTCCTTTTAGAGTATTGATTCTAACAATCTTCATTGTAGAGTATTGACTACAAGTGCGCCTCCATGGATATTGCTTTGGAAGGTACTGACCCATATGGGTGCTTGGATACTTAAAAGGGGTGGTGAGACCCCTGTTGTGATGCATTATGCATTTGTGAATAAGTGACTATTAAAGGCATGAATAAATGGATTTTGTATATTGTATTCTTGTGATTGACTCATCCAAACCCTTGTTAGGTTGATTGAGATACTTAAGTTATGATATTTTCCTTGCACTTAATGATCTCTTTATATGTAGTATTACCTTTAATGTATTGATAATTCTTTCATTGAATTTATTTAACTCCCATTTCTTATATCCCCAATAAGAAGTCAATTATTGGTACAATGTATATTTGCAGTAATTCTGCATCAATTCTATTTGATTCTGATGCACCATACTCATTTTTTACTAAAATGACTTGTCAACGTTTGGATAATTAGTTTTAAATTGTGGATAGATTCTTAATTCACATTCGTGACGTAAAAGATATAAAGTTAGCTCATATCGAGGACGTATGTATTCTTAAACAATTACCATATGTTTTTCAGATTAACTTGACTAGTCTTCGTCATAACTGCTGAGTGTTAACAATAAAGGTGATGTTGGGAATGAAATTGATTTTCAAATTGCCTAATCAAATGGCAACTATTGAGCTGTAGGAGTTGAAGTGCAAATTCAATGACTTGCTAAGCAAGGTTTATTCATTTTTTCTCCCTATACTATTTGTAAAGAAAAAAGATGAAAGTACTTGACTAAATCAGCAACCGAGAATTGAATAAAGTGGTGGTAAAAAAGGTACTCTCTTCCAAGAATCTAAGACTAAATGGTTGAAGCAATTGTGTTTTTCAAGATTGAGCTTCATATGAGATACCCTTAATCGGAGATCAAAGAGTGGGATGGTCGGGCTCTTAAAACTAATAATGTCACATCTTGCGGTTCTAGGCCCTCTGTTGCTCGTGTGCTAGTTAAGCTTGATGTCACCAAACAATATCCCAATAGAGTTTGGGTTGGACTTGAAAATTTCGGTTACATTTAGTCCGTCATTATGGAAGAGTTTCATTCTTATTGCTCTTACTGCAAATCGTTGGGTCATTCAAGTTCTGACTGTCGGATTTTACATCCTAATCTTGATAAAAATCCCGTAGTTAACAATGTATCCGTTAATGAGGGTGAGAGGATTGCTAATGGTGTACTCGCCAATGTTAGTGTTGACTTAACATTACAAGGTAATGTGGTGAATTTGGAAACTGGGCTTTTGCTGCATCTTTTTTGTGATTCGGGATAGTCTGATGAGTCTATCACATTGGTTACCGTCAACCCTCTGGGTTTGCCTGGTTTGCCTTCTGTTATTTCTATTTCGGAGAATATTGATGGTGTTAACAATGAGATGGCTGGCAAAGAATTATTGTTTCCGGTGGTTACCATTTTTGATAATCAATGTGCATCTCCTTTAATTAATTTTCCTTGTTCTAATCAAGAGGATTGTGAGGGTATTAATAAAGATCTTGCTAATAATTTGTCCTTAATTCCTGCTTATGATTATCAGCTGGTTGTCTCCCTTGTTTTGGTTGAGAAGGCTTCTAAGGAAAATGATTGTCATGATAACTTTGATGATGCAAATGTGGGTTTTTGCGATGTTAACAACAACGTTGTGAAAATCGGACCGGACAATGAACCGGAAGAAGGATAGGTTCACGGTGACCTGTCGAACCGAGGTCGAACCGGATGACGTAATAAATAATATTATTATTAAATAAAATAAAATAGATGTTAAATTTTCTTCTTATACATTCATTCTAAATTGTATTTTCATAACCCCTAATTCAAATAACATAAACATGACATCAATTAAGTTTATGAAATATAAACAAATAACACATAATATAAGTGTCACATCAAATTAATCAATAAAACATAAACAAATGCATAGCTTTTGGCATCAAACAAAATGTTCATAATTTCATATCAAGTCAAACTTCAAAGTTTAAACATAAATATGTATATAAATCTAGAAGTCATCTTCTAGATTTGAAGCATCAAAAATGATATCCCTAAATCTTTGTTCATCAAAACACTCCCCTCCAAAAGCATCAATATCATCATTGCCAATTATTTCATTATCATTTTCAACATCATCAAGGACATCATCATCTGCATATTAGAAATACAAAATATTATATATATATTAAACATCACTTTCACATGATATAACTTAAACCAACTATGTACTTACTTTGAGGTTCTTTAGTACAACTAGTATTAACCTTTTAGGCAATAGGAGTGACATCTTCAGCATATATTTCATTCTCTAAATTCTCCATAACAAGCTCTGAAATTGGTTCTTCATCAAGCACCCAAAAATTCACTATCTCTATGCTTGTATAATCCAAAGGATCGTAGTTTCTTTTTTTGTTTGAAATCTATAAAATTAATATAAAACATCATAAAAAAATTATTCATGCTTATATATAGAAATATTTAAATACAATCATACCTATACCTCAAATTAAGGTTGTTCCGAACAAATACAAGATCATTAAGCCTTTGATGCTCTAGATGATTTGGTCTCTTGGTATGAATTTGTTCAAATACACTCCAATTTCTTTCACATACAGAAGATGAAGAGGTTTGACTTAGAATTCTAACAGCCAATTTCTGCAAATTTGGTGCACTTGATACGAACATTTTCCACCATTCATCTACAAAAAGTTAAGTATTATTTATTTGATATGCATTAAAGAAGAAATGTATACTAAAATATTGGCTTCACTTACCTGGCTGCATTTCTTTGGCTATTGATAGTGCAATTGGCTTGCCAAAACTCTCTAAATTATCACGGAAAAGTCTAACCTCATGCATTGCTGCTGATGATTTTGGACATATATCTTTATTCCTAATCAGCTCAATTAAACCTTGCAGTACTTCAGGTTTCTGGCAAAAATTTTCTTTATCATATTGAAAATGTGGATTAAGAAAATAAGCTGCACAATGTATGCCTAGTTTTAGCTGGCTATCCCATCTCGTCTTTATAATAGTTGTGTAAGGTTTGTACATCCTTTTAGCATTTCTAAACATGCCCTTAATGGCTTTCCTTGCTCTGTACATGCCATCATAAAGAAATCCCAAAGATGGTTTCTCATCAGAACCCATAATTCTCAGTAACTGAATTAAAGGGCCAAATAATTTGGAAGCTAGCAAACCATCATTCCAAAATTTATTATCCAAAATGATAGATGATACTTCTTTCCCTTTCACTATTTTTGATATCTTTGAATCAAAGAACACTTTGCTTGTTATGAAAGCCTGTACGTAGATTTTGTGATCATATATGTTTCTCAAAGTTATAAAAGTTGTAGCAAATCTAGTAGCACCGGGCTTGATAATTTCCTTCCATCCATCTCTCTTTCTAAGCCAACCTAAAATAAAAACATGATTATAAACAAATATTGTAACCTTTGATGCTCTTTTTGCAAGTTCCTGAATATGAGACATGTTTCCAATATCTTTAAGAATAAGATTCAAGCAGTGAGCAGAGCAAGAAGACCAATATATATTGTTAAATCTTTCATGTAGTAGTTCCCCTGCCTTCTTATAATTTGCAGCATTATCTGTTACAAGTTGCACAACATTCTGTGGTCCTACCCATTCAACAACTTCACAAAATAACGGACATAAAGTCTTGGCATCCTTCGTAATATCAGAAACAACCATAGATTTTAAGAAGGCTACACCCCTTGAACTGTACACAAGGAAATTAATTAAAGTTCTATTCTTGTTATCTGTCCAACCATCAGCCATGAGTGTGCAACCTATTTCAGTCCATGATCTTCTATATAAATCAATCAACAACTTACATTCCTCTTTGCAATCTCTTAGAAGATTAACCCTCAATTTATAGTATGATGGCAATTTATACCCAGGTCCAATTGCAGCTATAGCATCAATTGCCTTTTGTGCAAATGCTGAGTTTATGGCATTAAGAGAGATGCAACTGTCAAAAAACCACCTAAAAATTGCCAAATCAGCACGATGTATTGCTTCTTTGGATGCCATTACACTCTTCAATAATGGTTGAGAGAACCTCCTTTAGTTCTTGGTGCAAAAAAATTTTCTATTTCATATATTTTTCTCTTCCCTCTTTTAGTACCTTCATGGTGGGCATCAGATGATTGTGACTTGGGAAGTGACGAAGAGCCCCTTTCTTCATCCATATGCTCATCCACAAACAATGCTGTGCCCTGCTCTAACCCCTCCTGGGCTTGTTGTTTTTTGTTTTCTATTTCTTTCAGATTAGCGCATCTGATGACGAACATCATGTGGGACTTTTTTGCATGAAGCTATGTTACCTCTAACTCCTGCTAAATGTTGTTTTATCCTGTTAATGCCTCCACCTTTATATATAATCCCACAATGTGGACATCTATATCGTTTTTTTCCATCTGGGCATTTACTTTCAGTACAATGATTCCAAGCAATGTCAATCTTTTCACGCACACTATGCGAAGAACTTGTTGGTGGGTCCATTCTAAAATAAAATATATTACTCAATAATAGTCAATACTCATATTGAAATATGTTCCACATGAAGCAACAAAAGCATAGACTAATCAAAGTTATCTATATAAAGCAATTTAACAAATAATATGAAATAAAATGTTAGGCATGTTTGCATTGGGTACATCATATCTTATCAAACAAGCAACTTTTTCATAAATATATTTTAAAAGGAATAATTGTCTTTTAAATGAACATATAAAATAGTAAATTCTAATTGAGTTTAACAAAATAAGATAATAAATATACATCTAACAAACTCTACCACCATACAATAAATCATATCATCATTAACAGAATATGATAATAAGAAAAAAAATTTCAGCACAGAAAATGACAGATAGGAAAATTCACCTCCAAAATGTCAGCACTCAGCACAGAAAATGACGGGAAATTCACCTCCAAAGTCCAAACCATCAATTGATCGAACAATTCTACGATTAATAGTTACGATCTTCTTCGGGCAGCTTCATATATGTGAGTGAAGGAGCTCAATGACATCTACAATAATATGATAATTGATACATCATACATGAATGCAATCCTGGTTAGGGCTTAAAACTGAACAAAATCTGAAAATCCCTCATCTCTCTTGGTCTCGGTTGCGGCAAAGGCGAATGAACCATATTAAAAAAAAAAAAAACAGCACGGCAGATGGAGCATGCCAAAACAAAATCGCATCCTCATTTTCCCCTATCTTGCTCGGAATGCTCGGACAAATGAAGCATGCCAAAACAAACGGCACGGCAGCACCATTGTCCGACCAAAAAGAGAAAACGGAAAGCATGCCCTTAAGGTGTTTCGACTCACCTGCAAATGAAAATGCTGCAAATGAAAATGCCGCCGTTCAGCTCTCCTAGCGTGAAGCCTCTGTCGTCTTCTTCGTTGGTCTCGTAGGGTTTGCGAGCAACGAACGAAATAAGTAAAATGAGCGTTTCGAGTTTCGACTCCCGCTTAATGAAACCTAAATCTAATTTCGGCTGTTGTATTTGAGTTTAACGGCTCTGATTAGGTAATTTAGAAACCGGACGGTTCTTTTAACCGAGTATGGTTCGCCGGTTTAGCGGTTCAACCGGCATTGGACCCGGTTTTTGGCCGGTTTAATTGCAGCCTGATTTAAAGGGGTGGACCGGCCCGGCCGCCAGACCGATTCTCGGTTCAACCGGTTGAATCGGCCGGTCCGGTCCGGTTTTTAAATCCTTGGTTAACAAGGTTGATTTGAATGAATCTTCTTACGGATTGGTGACCCCTTATGCTGACTCCCCCTTGATTGCTCCCATTTAGTTGCCTATCAACGCTGTTGGAAACGTGCCTTTTATTGATGTTCCTATTTCTTTTATTTCTAATGATGCATTATTAGCACATTGGACAATAAAATCGAAGGACAATTGTGTTGATCACTCAGACTGGTTGGATGATTGTTACTCCTTGGCTTGCTTGGGTGTTGGGGAGGATATGGCTGAGCCTATGGATAATTTTCAAGCTTTATTTGGCGTGAATGTGATTCATATCAAATATGAAACATTTTCCAATGGTGTGGCTAAATGTAGAAGGCGAAAATAAAAAAAGAAATCTAAGAAGAAGTAATTCTTGAGTTTGCTTTTCTTGACTTGTGTTGTTTTTGGGTTTGTTCCTTTTGGCTGGATTGTTGTTTTGTAGCTTTAGGTGCTTGTGCGTGCGGTTTCTTGCTGATGGTGTGGGTTTTGTTGGTTGGCTATTTACTGTGGCATCACTTAGATGGTCGGGTTTGTGAAGTTGGATAATGATGAGGCAGTTTTCCTGCATGCCAACTTTGATGGCCTCAACTTGATTTGACAACCTTGGTGGATGATCTCTTCATTCTAGCCTTCATTTGCTAAGTGGGACTTCGTGCTGCTTGATTTTCTGTCGTCAATGGATGGTCCTAGCCTGACAACTGGGTGACACTCCTGAGTCTAACAGGCTTCATGGCCTTCTTAATTCTAATTATGGTCTAATTGCTTTTTCAGGTTGCCTTGCAATCAGTCGCTTATTTTGGTGGACTTAGCCTTGTTTTTTTCTTTGTTGGCCTCTTTTTCCTGTTAATGAAAAAAAATCAATATTTATAAAAAAAAAAAAAAAGAGGTTTAGCACATTCTTTACCCATCTCCTTTAAGCTTGGAGTGTCATATCTCTGTAAGAAGTCAAATATATGCATATATGCGCTTGTCTTGGTTTAATCAAGTTTAATTTTCTTTTCATAATTTATAATATGGGCTCATTTAATTGGTTCAAGTTAGAATTCATTTGTTGAAAAATTATGCAGTTTATGAAATATTTCATTTGGTTTGATGTAGTTAAGCATCAAAATTAAGTTAAAATGAACCTTAAATATATTACACTCATCTGCAAATAGGAAGATAGAAAACAGATGCTGTATGCACTTTAATGATATTGGATTTATTAACATGCTGAATTTTTTGCTTTTTATGTTTTGAATGCATGCAAGGATTTTGTTTTAAGTTATACTTATCTCTAGTCTGATGATAACAAAGAATGATTAGTTCTATTAATTTGTGCTTCATAATAGTTAAATTATCCTGAAATATGTCACATGGTGACTGGGTTGAGAACTGTATGTTTCTGCTGAGTCATGATGTATATGCTAATTTACAAACTCTTAAAGAAACTTGTAAAATTATGTACATACAATATTTTTATTTTGGCTTAAATTTTGGCAGCCAATCTAGGATCACCTAATGATATGTATGTCATGTTTTTTAGGGCTAGCGTCTAGATTTTAGGGCTTAGATCCTATAGAGTACTGATTCACCTGTATGCCTATATGATTTTTTTTAATGAAAATAGAACTAGGGTTAAAGTTACCTAAGATCTAGGCTTATGTCCGTATAAGCAGAAAGCTGTCCTTCATAAATTATTGTCAAAACTGCAACGTGCTTGAAAAATCTTCATGCAAAAACGTCCACACAAATTTGAGAGGAATGTGAAATTTAAGTAAAGCCAATTCTGAATATTATGTGTAGAGACCTATTTATATTCAAAATTAGAGCACAATTGGAAGTACAACAACAACATCAAGCATTTGTCTCACTATGTGGGGTCAGCTACATGAATCCTTTTTCTCCATTGTGTCATGCTAAAAGTCAAATTCTCATTTAAATCTAATAAAGAAAGATCATTTCTAATATTTTATAACCAAGTGTTTTTAGGACTACCTCTACCTTTCTTAACATAAGTCAAATCTATTACCTCTATTTTCCTAAGTCATCAGAAGGCCGTCGTTTTATGTAACCAAACCATCTAAGGCGACTCTCTCTAACCTTATCTTCCACTAGCGCTAATCCAACCTTTTCATGTATATGCTCATTTCGTATCCTATCTCTTAGGGTAAAGCCACTCATCTACCCGAGCATCCTCATCTCTGCAACACTAACTTTAGTATTATACTTCTCTTTTAATGGCCAACATTCAGCACCATAAAGCATTGCATGTCTCACCATCATCTTATAAAAATTTTCCTTAAATTTGAGGGGGGACTTTTCTATCACACAAGCCTGATGCACCATAAAAAAATCATAATCTAGTCTAAAATGGTTAAAAGAAGCTTGCAATTCCCCTTCCCCCCCTAAAAAAAAAATCTTGATTTTGTTAATACCATAAACAACCAATTTTAAGTTGCTCTGCAATTTATGTAGTCCATTACATTTGTAGATAATATTACTAACTTTGCCGGCTATTGAACATGACATTTAATTCATGTCATTTTTCTGAAATTGAGGGAAGACTGTCAGATGAAATAATTAAGAAAAAAAAAAAAAAAACCATCCCATCCAATCGCTGATACATTAGGAAGTCATAGGAGGAAGCTAACCCACGTGAATTATGCTACAGTAGGAAATCCATAGAGAAGAGAAAGGAAACATCAGGGATTCGGTGCCTGCTATAGTACCAGAAAGAACGAAATCCTTAAATCCTGGAAATTATCTACTTAGCTTCACTTTAGATGTACTATAAAGAACAGTTTTGTAATAGCTCCTTGATTATTTTATCATTATGGCATCAGATCCTTGCATGGTCTAACCTAAAACGAGGTAATATCTTGTCCAACAACGAGATTGTATATTTTGTGTTAAATTCATATAAAAGGAGAAAGTTATTGTACATTTATATGTGTATGCTCTTTATTGGAAGAAAAGTTTGAAGTGGTCTTTTTTTTTTTAAAGGATATTTAGGTCAATTAAGGTAAAAAAAAAGGTCAATTAAGGTAAACCCGTACACACATCACGTATATAAGATTTAAACCCAAAACCTTTTGGTTGTTAGCCAAAGCTCTCGACCAACAGATCAAGATGAGTTGCGTGAAGAGGTCATACAAAATTTTTTTTTTTTTCAGGACTATTTAAAATGGGCCTTAAAGTTGTTTAAATATTTATTTAAAATGAGTGTAATATAATTTTTAATTATCTTTTCACATACACCAATAATTTTGAAATATATTCTTACCAAAATTTTGTCAATTGGATTTTCTGTTGATGCTTTGTTTTCTTTTTACAGCCTTGCTGCGCTTTGCTGTTGCTGTATACTGGAGGAGTGCTGCTTCTGAACCAAGCAGACCTCGAGATATTTAAGAACCTGCTACTTCAACGCCGTTCAAAGTACATTTACAGTTCAAATAATACTCATAGCGCTTCCTCCCGACTGAACTTGCATATAATGCTGTAAGAACATTGTTATTACATTCTCGAAGTGCATTAGCAGCCAAACCAACAATAATAGTTGGAGC